CCAGATATTTATATCCAGATCTGGGGTCTTCGGATATCCGGATATGGGATATCCGGATATGCCCCGACAAATATCCGGATATTCTGGATTTTCGTGAACAGTGAAGGTATTGTTCATACAGAATTGAGTTATGGGTTTGTGGACCCTAGTTTGAGGAAGTTGAACTTCTGTAATAATTAACTAAGTCAGAATCTAAGTGATTAAGGGCTTGTGGCTTTGTGAGAAGCCTAAAGACATGAAACACATAAGAAAAGGCATTGTCTTTGTGTCTTATGCTTTTAAGCATGATTATTGATATATTGTTGATCCGAAACAGATTGTGATTCTGCTGTGTTTGGGCTTTGAGCTTGTGTGTACTCTTGGTTTGGATAGCTAGCTTACAAGGTAAGCTTTTGTGTCCTCGGTTTAGCCATTGTTGGTTCCACATACCCCATGGGGGAATGGTTTATATGCATGCTGTGTTTTCATGCTTGATGATTTGAAATGTTGTTGAATTGTTAAGTGTAAGGGCCTTATAATATGCATGTGTTGTTCCACTTTGACAGTAAGCCTGAGTATGTAGCGTCATACAAAATGGTGAGACTGGGGTGGATGCAAGTAGCGCCTTGCACATTGTGTGGGTAATAGACGTATTCCTGCATTTTCTCTGGCCAGTAGATTATATTGACACACATGACATGGTTATCTGTGCATTGCACCGACTTTGGAACTTATATATATTGTGTAAACTGCTTTAGAACTTATATTGCACATGTAAGTGAGCTTGGGGTGGAAGATCTTTGAGGACCCCTTGTCTTACTGATATTTCTTGTTTAGAGATCTCACCCCACGTTTGGGGACGTTTATTTCAGGTTCAGGTAACTCGGGGGTTGAGACCTCGGGCGGTAGGAGGCCGGAGCTGAGTTAGATTATGCTGTTATCATGTTATTATGTTGTATGCTGACATGTTGTGGACTTGGTTGTTGTTTATGTTTTCTGTCATTTATGATTATTGAGTTGAGACTGCTGTTGGGCTTGTGCCTTATTTGGTGAGCATGAGGTTTGTCCATGCCACTTTGATTTCCGTCTTGTTTAAGCTTATCTGTGTTGTATAAACTATCAGGTTGTTCGGTCTACGTGTTGTAGTTCCGTGACTAGAGACATACTTATGATATTAATTAATGAGGTATTTCAGTTAGTTGTCTTTTGCAATATTCATACAGGCGATGTTTTGAAAATGAATTAAGTAATTCAACTTGGTAAGGATAATGACGTCATAATTGAAAATAAAAAAGAATATTCCGCATTTTTAATTAAGCGTGGCTTAATTAAATTACATGTTAACAAACCGGGTTAACACGGAGTGTTACACAAATCACATTCGAATATGCTCTAGGATTGATTGAAGATATTGCTCTATTTTTGCTGCAACTCTGATCCAGGGACATATCATAATGCTGTTGTATATCTTCTCTAAATCTTTCCAAATATATAATTCAGATTTAATTTGGATTTGTGGACTTTGATTTGTTGGAGATTTGATTAGGATTTCTTGAAGATCTTTGAGAGATTATTCAGATCAGAATACATGTTTGCGCGCTCAGAAGCTTCCCTCCATTAAGTTGGGCTTGAGTCCATAACTTGCTGGTGATGATGTTAATCAAACGCACTGCTGACCTCATCTTCAATGCTAAAGCTCTGCTTTTCGATGCTACAACTCTGATCTGCAATAAAATAGCAAATGCAATAAATGGTTCCATCACTCAAATTATCTTCACATATCCACACTTAACATATTTCTCATTCAAATCATGAAAATATAGAATTCATGCGTTAATCATATAAAATTAAGAGAATTATGTATATTTATGGCACCAAAACATCACATATAAGCCTAAAAATAACTCTCTACTAGAGAGTTATCAGTTAATTTTCCTGATTGCTATTAGTAGAAGAGGTAGGATATTGTAACAATCAATTAGGATTATTACCAATGTTACTACCAATCAATTTCACCATTAGATCGATTATATTGATCCAACGGTTATATTTATTTGAGTAAATATCTTTTTTGGTCCTCAGTAAATTTCACGATACCTGCTTTAGTCCATAGCAAATAAAAAGGCTATTCGTGCTCCCTAACAAATTCAAAATTGACCCATTTAGTTGAAATCGTGGTCCCTCACAAATTCAAAAAATACCCAAATTAGTCCTTCAAAAGGACTAAAATGGGTCCACTTTGAATTTTTTAGGGACCACGAATAGCCTTTTTATTTGCTAGTAACTAAAGAGGGTATCGTAAAATTTACTGAGAACCGAAAATTGTATTTACTCTATTTATTTCCATCTTTATATGGTTATGATTTCTCTTATTTAATGTGAAAATATTAAATATAAAAAATCATAACCATACAAAGGTGAAAATAAATATAAAGTATTAAATATGGAGAATCATAACCATACGAAGATGGAAATAAATATAACTGTTGGATCAACATAATCTATCTAATGATGAAATTGATTAGTAATAACACTAATTAGTTGTTACAATATTCTACTCCTTAGTAGAATTTTATTTTGGCCCACATGGATCATCTTATTTATTTATTTTTCTAATTGAGATTCACGGGCCCCGCCCCACATTACTCATTAAATATTTTTTTAAAATGAGTTATGCAAATCTCACCCCGCGAACCCATTAATTTTTTTTTCGTTATTAATGCAAAGTTATTTTAGAAAAACCAATTTTCCTTTTAAAGCTTAGGGTTCTTTTTTTCTACGGTGAAGGTAGATAACTTATCTATATTGAGTCCAAAATGATATCGTTTTGAAGGGAAAATCAATATATTTTAATAATTATAATTTATTTTAAGGTTATAATAGTCTTTTTCATTGTAATTTTTTAATTTTTTAACTCAAAATGATATCATTTTAGGAGCAAATATAAATAATTTATTTACTGTGAAAAAATTAAAGCCTAAAACTTATGACACTAACTACTAAGCCACAATAATTTAATAGTTTTAATGCTCCTATTATTATATTTATAAATACCAATATAAATTTCATTGTATTACCGCCCAATAACTCAAACTATTTTTATATCTTAACAAATTAAAGAAATAAAAATTCTAAGCAAATTGTTTTGAAATGAATTTTTCTTTATTATTTCATTGATTTGTTTAAAAATATTTATTTATTTTAATCTAAATTTATATGAATTAATAGAATTTTTTATTAAAAAACTCAATACATAAATTTATTAGTTTAAACTTGCATTATATATTCATTACTTCTCCATTATGATTAATGTTACGTAAATTTTATTTTTATCTACTTTAAATAAAAGACCCTACTATCAAAGCATTGATGATAGAGAAAATATTTTTTCCTACTAGTGACTCATAGCATAAGTGAGTCTCACCTTAATTTTTTTTTTCTCAACTATCTTGTAGGTCCCACTTATACTGTGAGTCTTTAGTAGGAGAAAAAATTTCTCCTTAAAAAAAGATAATGTTTTCCCTTGATGATATGCTCTTTTTGGTAATTTTTTCAAATTTGGAATAAAGTGATCAATCTACATGTTCTTTATTTATTTTATCTTTATTTCTTGAAATTTATATTGGGTATACAATAAATATAATAATAAGAGCATCAAAATTAATAAAGTATTGTGGCTTAATAGTTGGTGTCATAATAAATTAAAATATTCTTGCATTAATAATCGAAATTTTTTTAATGCGATCTGCAAAACTCATTTTAAAATAATAATTAATTAATTATGTGACTCAATAAAAAAAATAAATAAAAATAAAAAAGGCATTCGCATGAGCTAGGTAGGACTTAGGAGTGTTTCTTTGGTGTATGGGATGTATGGTTCATCTGTTCTAAAAAAGAAAAAATTTAGGATTTAATGGAAAATTTATGAAGGGATATGGATTAAATGAGAATTTGATTTTCTCTTTTTGAAAAGAATGTACTCACTTGAGTATATCCGATATTCAGAAGAAATTAAAGAATTTAAAGCCTCTTTGTAGAATAAAATTCTATGGAAACCAATCACGAAAATATAAATTTTAGGGAGTTGGTGCACCGTGTATTTTACCTGCTAACAAGGAAGGTTGCCTCTGCCAATTTTTTTTGTTATTTATTTTTCAACCCCCATTAGGTTTATTTTTTCAACAGTGACTTATGACTTAAGTTCGGGCTTAACTCAACCTAAATTGAGATATTAATACGACTAACATATAAATGGAATAATATAAGAGAATTCAAGTTATTAAAAGAAATAGAGATAAAAAATCAGTAACACATGATAATAGGAAAATTTTCTTATAAAAATATAATTTATTAATGATATTAATAAAAGAATTAAGAATTTAAGTTTAATAAAAAGAAGATTATGTTTCTCTCATGACACACTGACATACAAAGTATGTGGGCCTCACATATTTTGGGTGGACTTATTGTGTCAGACTAGTTAAAATTTCGATTTAAATTTATGATTTTATGATTTTTTTCAATTAATATGATTTCAACAAAATTTTAAGGATCTGGATTCTCCAATGTGAAAAATCACGTGACCATGTCATGTGGGAAATCATAACCATACAAAGGTAGATCAATGATAATTAAAGAGAAGAGAGACAATATATTAAAATAGGTAGTTACAAAATCATAACCGTTGATTTACCTTTGTATGATTGTGATCTTCTCACATGACCATGTCATTTTTTTTTTCACATTAGAAGATCCATTTCCAAATTTCAAACACTTTTATTATTTTATAATTTTTTTTTACATTAAAATTTTACGTTTTGCGATTTTTTATAATTCTTTTGATTTAAAGTAAAATCCCGATTTTAAGCAACCCATAAAATGAACACATAAATACGATTAAGTTAAAACACATAAAATCGATTTATTTTTTTGTTTTTGAGATAAACCGATTTTTTTTTCTCTAAAAGTAAAATAAAAATCAAACAATTCTGCTTCTCTATTTCCGGCACAAAAAAGAAAATCAGTTTTCTCTCAGTCACAACTTCGTACCCGCTCACAGACGAACGCCGAACCATCACTGCTTTCAACCATATCTCCCTTCAATCTCTTGCGTTCACGACTTCGTCTCCTTCCCTCTCTCTCTTGCGTTCCCAGTTGCACGTCTCTCTCTTCACACAAGAACAATAGGTATGCTCTCGCCTCTGCATCTTGATGAATCTCGGGTTAATGGTAGGATTTAATGCTTATTTTGTTGTTTAATCTTTCTTCTTTTATGACCTATGATCAGAATTTGAATTTGCAAATTTTGAAATTTTTGAAATTGGGGTTAGGGCTCTTGAAGGATTACACATAAACCTCTTACGCTCAAAGTGTCTAAGACAAATTTATTCATCTTATATCTCTGTTATGGTGATTCTTGTACCCAAGCTCCGTCTTCATGGCTGAAGGAGCTCGACCCACTTAAAAATCAGTATTTACCCGCATCGTGTCTGTAAGAAACGCTGCTTTGAGTTGAGTTATCAAAAACCCATTTAAGGTTTTTAACTTTTCAATCTTTAGTTACATTCTTGGTGTTTGAAAGCTCCAGCGGCAGGGCACCCAAATTTTGCAGCGAAGTAAGTTTGTGATTTGGTTTATTGGAATTCGTAATATTTTTCTTTTGGGTTTTTTAAATATCACTTTTTTGAGGTTTGGTGTCTGCCCTGAAGATGTTTGATAAATGTTTTCATTGCGTTAGTTTATATTCGAATCTCAGTTTCAGAATTTTCGGACTTAGGTTTATGAACAGTAACTTTACTTCTATTTATTTAGTTTCACTGCGTGAAATAGGGTTCTCATTTAATTGTTAGTTAATGGTTATTTGCACAGGAAACTGGTGAAACTAACCTTTGAATTCACAATATCTTTCTTTTGGTTTATTTAAATTCACGAATTTGGTCCTTGATCGTCCGAGTTTCTGTTCTTTCAGCTCCTTTTTGAGATTTGATGTCTGCCCTTAAGATGTTTGATGAATTTTTATTTTTATTTTCCTCTTTGGATCAATTTCAATTTCAATGGCCTTTTTTAATTTGGATCATTACGTTAGTTTCAGAATTTTGGAAGTTAGGTTTATGAAGGAGATGTTATTTTAGTAAAGTTTATTCGTTTATTAATTTTCTTAACTATGTGAAATAGGGTTCTGGTTTTATTGTTAATTAACTGTTATTTGCACGGGAAACTTGCCGAATCTGGGTATTGATTTAGTTTAATGGTATATTTTTAATGGTTTTGTAGGTGTTTTGATGGAAGTGGAATGGTCTGAATCGCGGTATGAGGGTAGGAATGATAAAGAGGATTCCCCTGTGAGGGAGCAATATGATGATGATGGGGCAGAGAAATCTAGCAAGCATAGAAGCAAGGATAGGAAGAAGAGCGACAAGGAGCACCGAAGTAAAGACAGGGAACAGCTGAAGAGGACTGCTGAGGACATTTCAAAAGAGGTGAGGGATGTAGAGAAGGATAGAGTGGCTGGCAGGGAACGGAAGAAGGAAGATAGGGATGAACGTGAAAAGGACAGGGTTAAAGATAGTAAGGTGAGGGAGAAAGATTATGATAGAGAGAAGTACAGGGAAAAAGAGCGTGAGAGGGATAGGGATAAGAAGGACCGGAGTAAGGATAAAGACCGTGAGAAGGAAAGAGAGGTGGAGAAAGATAGTGATAGAGCACGAGAGAAGGAGAGGGCAAAAGAGAAGAGTAGGGATAGAGATAGAGAAAGGGAGAAAGAAAGGGATAAGGCGAAGGAAAGGGAGCGAGAGAAGCATAGAGATAGAGAAAAAGAGAGGGAAAGCTATAGAGATGGGGACAAGGATAAGGGGAAAGATAAAATTAGAGAGAAGGAGAGGGAGGCTGATCGAGATAAAGAAAGGTCAAGAGATAGAGTAAGCAGAAAAACTCATGACGAAGATTATGAATTGAATAATGTTGATGATAAAGTAGACTACCATGACAAGAGAGATGAGGAGGTTGGCAAGCAAGCAAAGGCTTCAAAGCTCGATGGAGATGATCAAGATGGTGAAACCTCAGCACATCTGTCATCAACAGAACTTGAAGAACGCATCTTGAAGTAAGTCAATTTATCCTTACTTTACTTCATATATTTTCTTTATTTTATTTTACTTTTGTACTATTATTAACTAATAGTAGACTCTGCAATGTAAATTTGAAATTATTTTATGCTTCAGCAAGGTCATTAAAATTGTCGTAGTGCTTAGAATTTTGAAGATTCTTTTGTAGAATACTGTCAAGGTTACTTTACTTTATTTGTTGCTTATAAGATGAATGATTTTGATGATCCTAAAATGTTTACCTTGTTTCGTTATGTATTGGACCCGTAATCTTGTCTGCATCTGTCAAATACACATTTTATTTATGTTGTGAGTAAGCTGTCCTGCTTTTCCCTTTATTTTTAGTAGGAAACAGAATATTTGTCTCTTGGTTACAACACGTAACATTTTTTTCATTACTGCTTCCTTTTTATTTTATTTTTGAGATTTAGTCACAATTGAATTATACGTACGCTTTCAATCAGCATATTGTGAATTGAAGATTTAATGTTGGATGTCAAGGGGTTTAAAGATATTTTTGGGTTGATTGGTGGTAGAAAATAATATGATTGAAGGTTCACTGAGTGTATGTGTGGGTGGGTGAGGAGAGTTCAGAAACCATGGCACGGTTCTAAGGTTCAAGTTAATAAAGGTTGGCTGATGTGTACAGTTCCTGCAAGAATTGGGTGTTGCATGAGTTTCATAGCCAGTTCAACCAAGGAACAATTAATTAGGATTTTGATGAGATGAATTTCTAATTATGTCTGCCAAAGAAATCAGGTCTAGTTGATTGGCAAACAGAGGAAAATATAATAGAAGAATAAAAGAAGGGAAAGAAACCATGATTTCACACCTAACTAGGGTCCTTTAGGCTTTAATTGTACCATAAGACCAAGAAGCAAGGAATTTGTTACCACAATTATTAAATCTCATTATTATTTTAGAAAATGAGGCTTTAAAATTGTTTAAATAGAGCTACTCTAACTCCTGCTAGGAAGTATCAGAATTTTAGAGGAGAGAGAAAGGAGAGAAAAGATAAGAGAGCCATTGTATTCTTGTGATATTATTCTAACGAAGAATGTACAGAGAAGCTCTATTTATAGAGCACTGAATACTAACTGAACAGAAACAATAAGGCTAACAGTCTTATAAACTACAAACAGAAAGGAAGATAATAGTCCTATACATCCAGGTCTATAACAGAACAAACAAAATACACCAGTTAACTAAGCTAAGCTAAAGCTTACAATATACTCTAATACCCTCCCGCAAACTCAGCAGTGTTGGGAATCCAAGACTCTGAGTTTGGTGCGCAAAGTAGCAAAGCGAACAAAAGGAAAAGCCTTGGTGAGAGTGTCTGCAACTTGATCTGTGGCAGGTATGTGAGAAACCAGAAGTTCCTTGTGAAGAACCCTCTCACGAACAAAGAACATATCAAGCTCCATATGCTTGGTGCGAGCATGAAGAAGAGGATTATGGGACAACGCCATTGTACTCAAATTATCACAAAGGATGTGAGGAATAGTGAAAGGCACTCGAAGCTCACGAAGCAAGGGTTGAATCCAAAGAATTTCTGAACAATAAGCAGCAAGGCTTTTGTACTTAGCCTCAGTGCTTGAACGGGCCACCAATGTTTGCTTCTTGGACCACCATGAAACAAGATTGGGCCCAATATATACACAAGCACCTGATGTAGCAGTGAGATATACACCAAGATATCACAAGATTGAGCGTCTGTCATCTGGATCGCTGGCCCAATCAGCATCACAGAATGCAGTGAGAGATAAAGGGCTGGACGAGGTAGCTGGTCTGAGAAAAAGGCCAAAAGAAAGGATACCTTTAAGGTACCTAAGAATGCATTTAACTACCAGTTAGTGATCGTCAAGAGGCTGAGCCATGAATTGGCAAACTTTACTAACTGTATAGCTAATTTCTGGTCTAGTAATGGTTGCATATTGCAAAGCACCAACGATAGACCTGTAAAGACGAGGATCTTGAAAAAAGGATGAGCCACACTTAGTGAGTTTACAACCAGATGGCATTGGAAATGAAATACTATTGGCTTCATCATGGCAGTTTTGGTCAATAAATCTCTGTTGTATTTTGTCTGACACAGACTTAATCCACCAGATATATGTTTCTTCACTTCAACACCCAAAAACCAAATTTTTCAATGCAAACTGAGAATGAAGCTGAGAAATGATCTGCTGAATAATGGAAGGATCAAGACCAATTATGATGATGTCATCAACATATACAAGGACATAAACATGTCTGGATGCAGTCTGAAGAATAAACAGAGAAGGATCGCAACAACTGGGCTTGTAGTCAAGAGAAATTAATGCATGTTTGAACTTGTCAAACCAAGCTCTAGAAGCTTGTTTAAGACCGTAGAGAGCCTTATTTAATTTGCAGACCAGATGTCTATTCAGATGCTTAAAACCTGGTGGTTGGACCATGAAAACTTCTTCCTCCAAGTCACCATTAAGAAAGACATTGTTGACATCAAGTTACCTTAAGATCCAACCATTAGTTAAAGCCAAAATGAGCATGATTCGGACAGTGATAGGCTTAACCACAGGACTGAATGTTTCAGTATAATCAAATCCAACTTCTTGGTGAAATCCTTTAGCAACTAACCTTGCTTTGTATTTGTTGATTGTTCCATCCGGGTTTTCTTTAGCTCTAATAACCTATTGCAACCTATAGCTTTCTTGGTAGGTGACAAGTCAACAAGAGTCCAAGTCCAAGTGTTGTTAGATAACAAAGCATCAAATTCTAATTGCATGGCCTTAAGCCAAAGAGGACTAGCTAATGCTTGTTTGACAGAAGAAGGTTCAACATGGGTGAGAAGAGCTAAGGACCTGGCTGAAGTCTTAGAACAGGTTTGAATGGAACGAACAGGGGACTGCAGATGAATAGAAGAAGATGGCATGAATTCAAAAGAAGAAGGAGGAGAAGAGGAAGAACTAGAACTTGAATCATTGGGGAGAGTTTGATCTTGTCGAATTTCAAGCTGAAAGGTAGATGAACTAACAGAAGAAGGCAAGAGACTGTGTGGAGAGCTTGTTGAATTTGATGTACTATTAACTAAGGTAGTTAGCTGCATTGAATGGTTACGACTGGAAGGGCCATTGCTGGAGTCACTAGGGAAAACGTATGGAGGTGAGGCAGTTATAGTTGGTGTGACAAAGGTGGTTGGGGCTGAAGGAATTAAATGCTGTGTTTGCACTCCAAGAGGAACAAAAGAAGGTTGAGAAGGAACATTTATGACATGATTAGCAGGTTTCTTCCAAGATGATGCATATGGAAAAAGATACTCATTACTCGTTAAACATAACATCTTTTGATACATAATTCCTGCCATCTTTACTTTGACAGAGATAACCTTTGTGACTTGATGAATACCCAAGAAAAACACACTCGAGACCTATATCCATGCTTGTGCTTGTTATAAGGCCTGAGAAATGGAAATCAAGCACAACCAAACACTTTTAAAAAGGTATAATCAGGGGCAAGCTTGTAAAGTTTGGTGAAGGGAACCTCAAAATTTAAGGATGCTGTTGGTACTTGGTAATTTGTTTATAAGAAAGGTAGCTGAAGTAAAGGCAAAATCCTAGAATTTCATGGGGAGGGAGGCATGAGAAAGAAGAGTGAGACTAGTTTCAACATGTCTATGTTTCCTCTCAACCACTCCATTTTGATGATAAGTGTGTGGACAAGTCAGTCTATGTGTAATGCCATGAAGATTTAGATATGGAGTAAAAGATCGAAATCACCTCCCCAATCAGTTTGAATGGCTTTAATAGGAGTTTGAAACTGAGTATTAACCATGGTGTGAAATTGTTTGAATTTAGGTACAACCATGTATAACTGGTATAGCATCAACAAATGATATGTAATATAAGTTCCCTGAAGTGGATTTTACTGATGCTGAGCCCCATAAGTCATTAAAGATTAATTCAAAGGGAGAAGTAGAGACAGTTGTACAGGAGATAGATGGAAGTCTATGAGATTTTCCAATGCAACAGGAAGAATAGCAATCAAGCTCAGTTTTATTATTGAAATGTATTTTACTGGTGTTAAGTACATTTTGAGTGCTACATAATGTGGATGTTCTAGATGACAGTGCCACAGAGAATAGGCTGAATTAGAATCAGTATTTGCTTGATTACATGTATTTGACTCTACTGTATTACAACCTCACAGAGAACTAGAAGATTGAACAACATTGCAACTTGACATCAAAGGAGAGGAATGTGGTTTGAACAGATGCTGAGGGAAGGACAATACTTGAGAAGCAGTATAGTCCATCTTGACCAAGAGTTCCTTCAAGAAGAGTTTTTTGGGACTCCTGCAATTTGATAAAGCATTTAGTTGAATGAAATTCAAAAATATTATCTCGAGCAAAGGCACTAACACTCAACAAATTCTTCATAATAGGAAGGACATGAAGAAGATTTTTAAGAGTCAGTTCAATTTTAGAGTCAATAGGTGATAAAAACTTTGAACAACCATCAACATGAATAGGCAAACCTTGACCATTTCCAATGAGGACATGGTCAGCTCCAAACAAATGTTGGCTTTGGAGGAAATTTAATGGATTGGTTGTAACATGGTGACTTACTCCAGAGTCGGGATACCACTCAAAAGCTGGTTGAGTTGCAGGTGTGGGAAGAAGAGTTGGTTGCTATGCAGCAACCATCACTTGAGGAGTAGGAGCTTCCATTGGTTGACAACATACTGATAGGACCTTTGATACTGGTCCTGTTGTGCCTGAAATTGATTTTGTTGGTGAACATATTGTTGTTGCCATGGAGGAGTGTTGCGACTTCGGCAAGTGCACCGGTCGTAAAGTAATAAAAGTGTACTGAGTACGAGATCTTTCCACGAGGATCGGAATTTCAAGCACTAGTTCGCTAATCGTGTTTTAGTTGGACAATCAAGAATTTAGATGAAGAGAATTGTATTTGAAGAACTTAAAAATTAAAGACAAATAATGAGATGCAATTAAAGAATTTTCAGAATTAAAAAGAATAATTAGAAAAAATGATGATTGATTAAAGAATTAAAACAAGCGTAGTTAGGGTTTCGACTTCCCCCAATATCTTCAATATGTTATGAATTAAAGGGTCAAGAATCTGTTTCTTAATATATTGTCAATCAATTCTTTCTAAGTTAATTACGGCTCAATTCCTTGTTACCATAAATCTATGTAATCTTGAAAGAACTCTAGTTCCCCGATTATTCTCCAAGAAAACATGCATTAAGATCAAGAATTTCAAGATTGCATAATTACCCTTTATGTCTATCCCTAGATCACAAGGATTATGATAAATTATCAAGTCAGGGTTCATGCACCAACATCCCTATTGTCATACAATTCCCCAAAATCATTCTATAAGGAACAAACTCATAGAAAGCATTAAAGACAGATAATTTATTCAATTATAAAAAGAACAGGATTCAGAGACAATTTAATTTATAAACATAACAATTCAATTGGGTTCCATCTACCCTTAACTGCATAAAAGACTACTCTAGCATACTGAATTGAAAAAAATTGATAAAGAAAAGAGAACCCCAAGCCTCCATTGGTGTGATGTTGACTTGGTTCCTCAGTGTTCCAGTGCTCCGCAACAGGATTCCTCCTCTGTGACTTGAATGAGTATGAATGGTATGTGAATTCGTAAATTGGTCTGACCCTCAGCTCCCTATTTATAACCATTGAAGTTGTATCTTCATTGAATCTCCCAACGAATCCACATCAGATTTGTAATTGATTCTTCAATTGCTTCCTTTTTGCATTTAAGATCTTGTAGATTGGTTGACAGATTTCAGCTTTATAATCCTGCTTCAATCTTCCATGACTCCCTTTAAATCTGGTTTGATTTGTTTCCGTTTTGGTTCCGGATGTCGCAATCTGGAAAATCTTCATTAAATCTCAGCAAATCTTTGCTGTCAGGAACGTACTTGGGCGCTCAAGCGTGCTGTTGGCCGCTTGAGCGTGCCAAATTACTTAAATTTGCTGTTGCTGCCTGCCTGAGTGCGCTCGAGCGTGCTCCTCGAGTCTAAAATCTTGTCTTCTTGGGTGCAAACTAAGCTAAGCTAAAGCTTACAATATACTCTAATAGGAAGATTTCTAATCCTGTGAGGATGCAAACTCTACTACACCTCTAAGGAAAACATGAACATTAAAAACCCATTTACACAAATAGAGTATAAACCCATGCCTGAATACAATTCAAGACATGGAAATATGAGAATTACCTAGATTCCCCTATTACTGAAAATTGAAAAATAAAAATCATTAATAGAGTAAAAACTAAAAAAAACTGTGAATCACCCAAATTTATGAAATATGACAATGACAATCAGCCTCATTGTCAACCAGTATGTTTGGAAGCTTTCTAGTGGAGGGGAAGGGAAAGGAGGTGATGGAGGGAGAGTCACTTCTCATTGCTTGGATGTTTAAAGTAAGGAAAGGAGAGGAACTCTCTTCCCATTGTTTGGGAGTTAAAGTACTAAGGAATGAAGTTATTTCCCATTATTGATGCTTCTGGATAAGTTTGAAAACAGAAGCGTCTTTATGATATAGCTTTTTTTAGAACTTCTTTTTAATAAGTTGCTCTTTTCTAGCTTTTGAGAAAAGATCTAAAACTGCTTTCTATTTTTAATGAAAGTATACAATTATTTGTAAATATTTTAGACATATTTCAATTCTGAATTTTTTTTTTCTTTAAAAAAAGCATAAACAAATGGGCCGTTAAATAAAAATATACTGTTCCTCTGCTTAGTCTGTCCCACCCCCGCCAAAAAAAAAAAAGAGAACATCCATCTCCTTTCCCCTCCTTAAAATTCTTTCTAGCAAGGGTTTGATGGGCCGTTAAATAGAAATATACTGTTCCTCTGCTTAGTCCGTCCCCCCCCGGGAGACACATCCATCTCCTTTCCCCTCCTTAAGATTCTTTCTAACAAGGGTTTGAGTCACTTTTTTCCTCTCCATAGCATAAGATAATTGCTCTTTGAATTTAGGCTTTTTTTATGCTATCCATTAGTATTTCTACTGTCAATCTATTGATTTATTTTGATGATCTAAGTTTTGAACATTGCATTTCTATGGTTAAAGTCGAAAGTATGGAATCCATTCTGTTGTAACAATATTCTTTTTTATTTAAATAGGATGAAAGAAACAAGGACAAAGAAACCATCTGACGCTGCTTCTGAGATCTTATCATGGGTTAATAGAAGCCGTAAGCTTGAAAAAGAAAGAGTGTCGCAGCTCTCAAAGATTTTTGAGGAGCAGGTTTCTTTTCTTTTTCTTGTACCTTTAATATGTTCAGTAAAATATTTATTTTTTCCAATTTAGATATGTAATTAATGCTACATGATTAAAATTTTCACAGGACAACATTGCTAAAGAAGAAAGTGAAGATGAGGATACAGCCCAACACACTGGTAGGTTCCTTTCTTTGTCCTAACTTCCACCTGCTGCCCGAAAAATTTGAATACCCAATTTGTTGGTAGATGTTTTCAGGACAACTTTTAGGAAGAGCTGGAAACTTATTGAGTTACAAAATATGTTGACTAGCTTTACCCCTGTACAAGATGCCGAAGTATATACATAATAAACCAAACATTATAGGTTCATATTATTATCAAAAGAGAAGAACTTTAATTCTCATGATGTATTTTAATAAAAGATGACTTTCTTATTAATATAAAGTGAGAAGAAGAAGAATGAATAAATAATATTAGTTTTACAGCTTCTCTAAAGAACAATTACATTTAATATTATTTGTCTAAATATATTCACAATTAAATTAAACAGAAGTAAAAGAGTTAGGCCACGTATATGACTGCAAATGGCTTGATCATTAAAGACAAAGCTTAAGTTTTATAGTAGCAACTCAATTGCTAGTTGTGATGTGATGACTGTGACATTTGTGTAAATTGCAATAATGATGGAACCTGATTTTATTTACTATAAATTGATGAAACATAAATGGAGACAAGCTCCTTACATACACTAATAGCAAAAAATAAACCCCAAAGACCTCAACTCCCCCTCAAAGCCAACATACCTAGGCTCCAAGAGTTCTCTAGAGATTTCAAATTTTCCTACTAAAACAATACTCAATTTATGCCTACCACACCACCCACTCTCCTTTTATCCTAACTTAGAATATTCTAGAAACTTTTCTAATAAACTAACTAATTATCTCAGGCCCACAATACTACCCCCTAAAAAACTCACCTTGTCCTCAAGGTGAAGAGAGGATAGGTAAAGTGAGAGAATCTTCCACCCGGGTCCCATTGTTTGAAGCAAACAGACCAAGTTATGATTGAAGTAAAAAAACTGCCACTACTGAATTCCTTTGCCCCCTTCCTTGATGTCTTACTCCATGTGTTGGTGTTTTGTGTGTTGCTGCCTTGCAGGATGCTAATTGGGCCGTGGTTTTGTCCTTGAAGCCCACCCACTTGCAACTGCAATCCAGAGGTATTGGGCCCACTTTGGTTCCCACGAGGCCTAACATGTGTTCTCCCATTTAGCCCATTATTTGATTTCCCTCCAGTTGCTAGTGTCAGATTAATTGATTGGGTTGTAAGGGCAGCTTGATAATAATGGCCCAGTCCTCCTCTACTGGACCCTGGCCCATTTCAACCCAAACCCATACCAACGTGCATGCACTTGCGAAGGAATCTCATGTACTTCGTCATCTGCTGCCTAACAAGTCAACTGGAGATGCAGATTTCCTCGCACCGCACAACCACCACCTTCTGCCTGTTGAGAAGCTCCGTCGCCATGATCGATGCTAGAGGACCAAGCATATGGTGTCGTGTATCCACCGCCACCTTCACATAGATCCCTGAACCTGACACCATTTTCGTTCCCTCACGCACACCCACAGTGAACCCTTTCGGCTTTTGTTGTAGTTGTTGCTCCTCTCCTACGTCGTCTTTTTCTTCTTCTTTATTTTCTTCTGTTTCTTCTTCTGCGATTTCCCTGCACCTTCTACTTCTGCATCTGTATCTTCTTCTTCGTTTGCTTCTGCTTCGTCATTTTTTTCCGCTTCTGCTTCGTCATCTTCAGCAAGCTTTGTCTTCTTCTGCACCTTGTTCTCTGCCTCTTCTTTTTTCTTTTTCTCCAATTTCTTTTGCATCTTCATTTATGTTGCGATCTACTTCTCCTTCTTCGTTTTTGATGGGCCTAAGATAATTAGTTAGTTTGTTAGGAAAGTTTCTAGAATATTATGAGAGTTAGGATAAAAGGAGAGTATGTGTAGTGTGGTAGGCATGAATTGAGTATTGGTTTAGTGGGGAAATTGAATATCTCTAGGGAACTCTTGGAGCCTAGGTATGTTGGCTTTGAGGGGGAGTTGAGGTCTTTGGGGTTTATTTTCTGCCATTAGTGTATGTAAGGAGCTTGTCTCATGCAATAATTTTAGATTTAGTGTCATTATTGACACGATAGATGACAATAGCGCTAGATAGCCCTGATCATGGTCGTTTCGTGGCCAATTCACAGCTGTAGTAGCCACTAGGCAAATTTTTTTCTCCCAACCCCCTGTTTCCATTAGCCATCTTTTTTAATGTTAATTTTTTGATTTCCTACAATTAGAATGTATGAATGTATTGTATTCAATTGTGTATAGAACTGTACAAAAGACCTCTATTTAAAGAGGTTAAATGACCTAATGGGCCAAGCCCAAATAACCTGCTAGAATAACAGAATAATAAATAATACAATGCTATTTAATATTATATTATTTCTAAGACCTACTTATACTCCTTCAGAACCTCTTTAGGTTTAATTTTCCCCTTATCTTTGACAAACCTAGCCCAGCAGCCAAAACACAAAAGCTTTGTTCATCGAACACCTCTTTTTTCTGGAAGACAGGCATTTATGGCCAGAGTCAGGATTTTCTGGCCAGTATACTTCCCAACCATTCCCTGAAACGCCTGACCGTATTCAGTTCGTGGCATAGTAGTCAATAGCGGCGCTATTGCGCCGCAAGCCGCGCCAGTTGCGCTTTGCGGAGCTTCGCCGCAACCATTTGCGCCGCGCCGCACCAAATCGCAATAGCGACCGTTGCGGCCGCATTTGCGGCCAAATCTCACCGCAACAGTGTCTTTTTATGGTTTTAACCCTAACCCACTCTCTCTTTCTGCCTCTCTGTTGTGCGTCTCTCTTCTGCCTCTTTTGCTTTCTTTATCGCGCTCGTTTCTTGCCTTCTCTACTTCTCTCTTATAGTATTGAAGTTCAATGTGGAAGTCATGACCGAAGAAGCAAAGCTTCAAGTGAGAGAAAGAGTGAGAGAGAGAAATAGTGAGAGAAATAGTAAGAGAGAGAGAGAACAGATGAAAGAGAAAAAGAGAAGCTGTGAGAGAGAGAACGGATGAAAGAGAAAAAGTGAGAGAGAAAGAGATTCTGATCTATCTTTATTCAAAGAAAAGAAAAGTACATTTGTTAGAAAAGTGATTCACAAGTGTTATAGTAACAATGGGTAAAATTATTTCTATATCCCTAAAAAAAAAGAATGTATCATTAAAAGGTAACTAAGGTAAAACACTAAAGTAACTAAGATAAATTTGGTAAATCAGTAAAGTATAGTTACAAGTAAAGGTAGTACAACTATAGCTAAAGTTTGGACACTTATTATTAAGAGGTAACATGTCAACTCTGCCTTTATTTTTATTTTTTTTATTATTTGTATTATTTTTAGGTGTTATTGTTTTTTTAATAATTTATTATGTTACACACACACACACACACACATATATATACATATAAATTGTTTTTTTAATAAATATATTTTTTTCGCTATTTCCGCAACCGCAACCCGCAATAACTCTAGCGGTTTTGAGGGTTGGCCGCATCAGGCCGCAATCCGCATTTCCGCATTTGATAACTATGGTTCGTGGTCCACTTCGAAGGGCTCTTTCCTACCCTGTGTGTGAACTTTGCTGGCCTCTGCCCTATGTTTGAAATGTGCAAGCTTCATTTCCTTGCAGTATGTTTAATATTAAGTTGTTTGATTTTGACAGAATTTGTCCCAAGTTGTTTAATTTCAATTTGTACTCTTAATTCCAAGCACAGGCTTCAGTTCCTTATGCCTTCGATTAATGATAATTGTATGTTCAAACTAATGATTAATATGTCTTTAATTTTGTGTAATTTTTTATTTTTGAGCATGTGTATGAGTGTGGTATAAACTATTTACATTTTATCCATTATTTTTGATATAGTGGCTATCTAGCTATCTGCTGTACAATTCCACTATAGCGGTTGGGGTTGTTAATCATGTTTATATTGTTAATAATCTGGTTGGTAAAATACACTTGTATAATGAATATCTGACAGACAACCTGGCGGGAGTGAAAGTTCTTCATGGCCTTGATAAAGTTGTGGAAGGCGGAACAGTAGTTCTGACTATTAAAGATCAGCCCATACTTGCTGATGGTGACATTAATGAAGGTACAACTGCTTGGTGCACTTTTAATATCATTCCAGTTTGAAGTCTGTGAGTGACACACTTCTTTGTGTAATAGAGTTTTTTGTTCTCACGTAGCAGAGATTGATATGCTTGAGAACGTGGAAATTGGAGAACAAAAACAACGGGACGAAGCTTATAAAGCTGCAAAAAAGAAAACTGGCATATATGATGATAAGTAAGATGATCATTACTGTCTATGTATTATTGAAATAACAGAAATAGAAATTAAAATGAATTTGGAAGAATCTTATGAAGCTTGCTCTCTCAATTTCAGGTTTAATGATGACCCCTCTGCGGAGAAGAAAATACTTCCACAATATGATGATCCAGCTGCAGAAGAGGTTTGCTACTCTTTCTTGTTATGAAGCAACTGATGTTAAGCAAGGCAGTTTTTGTGAATGCTTGTACTAATCCAATTCTTTTATTCAGGGTTTAGTTTTGGATGAAAGGGGACGATTCTCAAGTGAAGCCCAGAAGAAACTTGAAGAGGTAGGTTTTACTTTTCTTTATTTTATGAAATATTTTTGAAGCAAGTAAAGATGGAGCTCCAACTTTTCTAGGGTCATGAGCTTTCTGTGATCAAAATATGGTCTCATATCATTGTTTATGTGACTGCCCACTGATTATTCTTTTCCTACTATTTTTTCCTCTTGGAATTTGTTCCTCATAATTGATTTGGTTAGATGAATATATCATGTGTTCATGTATTTTGCTCTCTTTTGGCTGAGGCATATATTTTTTCCTATTGCCAGCTGCGAAGAAGGTTAACAGGTGTTTCCTCGAATAACTTTGAAGATCTAACTTCATCTGGGAAGGTATCATCAGATTATTATACTCAGGAAGAAATGCTTCAATTTAAGAAGCCTAAGAAGAAAAAATCCTTGCGGAAGAAAGATAAGCTGGACATCAATGCCCTTGAAGCTGAAGCTGTCTCTTCTGGATTGGGTGTTGATGACCTTGGTTCTCGGAAAGATGCAAGGAGGCAAGCCATCAAAGACGAGCAAGAAAGATTGGAGGCTGAGATGAGAAATAATGCTTACCAGTCTGCATATGCTAAAGCAGATGAAGCCTCCAAATTACTGCGTCTAGAACAAACTCTTAATGTTAAAAGAGAGGAAGATGAAACTCCAGTTTTTGCAGATGATGATGAGGATCTTCGTAAATCCTTAGAGAAAGCGAGAAGATTAGCTCTTAAAAAGCAGGAGGAAGAAGGGACATCTGCCCATCAAGCTATTGCATTGCTTGCCACCTCAAATCATAATAATGAGACTGTAGATGATCAGAACCCTTCATCAGCTGGAGAGTCACGAGAAAACAAGGTGGTCTTCACAGAGATGGAAGAATTTGTCTGGGGTCTCCACATTGATGAAGGTAATTTCTTATTTAATTATTTGTGCATTTCTAATATAATGAAATTCATACTACCTCAGCTGATTTTACATAGTCATTTGTGGATTTGGGAATTCTTTTGTTATTTCTTTTGGTAATCTTCTATTCAATCTTCAATTCCCATGTGCTCTTCTTAGACGTCTATGTCAATGGCACAATAATTATTTGAATTTGATGTGATCTTTCTTTGTTATGTTAGTTGAATATAGTAGGTGTTCTGAATATAAACTAATGTTTTTTAGCTCGTTGAACTGTTGGTCTATAAAATATATAAAGGGAAAGCTGATAATAGGTATAACTGAAGTATGTTGCTTTTCTATTTTTCAGAAGCACGTAAACCAGAAAGTGAAGATGTTTTCATGCATGATGATGGAGAGGCAAATATTCCGGATGAAGAAAAGAGTGACAAAGAGGCTGGTGGATGGACTGAAGTTAACGAAACTAATAAAGATGAACAACCCAATTCAGAAGACAAAGAGGAGATAGTTCCGGATGAAACTATCCATGAAGTTGCTGTGGGGAAAGGATTGTCAGGTGCATTGAAACTGCTTAAAGACCGAGGGACGCTTAAAGAAAGCATTGAGTGGGGTGGCAGAAACATGGACAAGAAGAAAAGCAAATTGGTTGGGATCATAGATGATGAAGGAAAGGAATCACAGAAGAAAAAGGAGATTCGCATTGAAAGGACAGATGAATTTGGGAGAATTGTAAGTATTCCATGTCCTTTACCTCATATTTCTTTGTCATATTTGGTTATTACTATAGCACTAAGTTTTTTGCCTTAAGAAATAACACTTTGGAGACATAAACTTCAATTTGGGTGTTAAAGTGCATTGCAAGTATGGCTTGTTATATTATTACTGTTATTAATTTTTTTCTGGGATAAAATTGTGGTTCATCAATTTTATATACCTGTCATCATTTACCCCAATCACCTGCGTATTTTTTATTGTTTTTTCCTTTTTTCTTGTTTGGGATGATTTCATTTCATAATATTTAAGTACTGACTGACACCAATCTTACACATCGAGTTACTGAGTTTGATCTTTTATGTCCACCAGTACCTATACTCAGTACCATTTCATTTCCAACTTTCAGTTTACAAATTTTAATGGAACTTCACTTATCTTTTGTTGCTTCCAGTTGACTCCTAAGGAAGCGTTTCGGATGATTTCTCACAAGTTCCATGGTAAAGGGCCTGGAAAAATGAAGCAAGAAAAACGTATGAAGCAATATCAAGAAGAATTGAAGATGAAGCAGATGAAGAGCTCAGATACACCATCAATGTCTCTGGAGAGAATGAGGGAGGCTCAAGCTCGTCTGAAGTCTCCCTATCTTGTTCTTAGTGGTCATGTCAAACCAGGGTATGTTTTTAACTTCACAAACTAATAATTCCCAAAGTTTTGAAAGAAGTGAAGAAATGTTTATGTTTAATGAAATGAGAAACTACGCGCATACCTCATTTCATGATTTGGTGATAAAAGTTAGATCTGCAGTGGGGCACATGCTTCTTAAATTAAGACTATTTTCTTTCCCTTCTTTAAAGAGTTGTACTTTATTTCGATGTGTTAAATATCAGTAACCAAGAGGTATCATTGTAATCTTTGTTGTGTTAAACACTTGAACTACACAACATTGGTTCTATTATATAGCAAACCAAATGAAAAATACAAAGAGATACACACTATGTGGGACTTCTACACCACTACAACCTGATTCCAAAGAAGAAAGTTGCTTTCTGTCAGTTTGACAGAGATCTGATGGTTGAACAGTGATGGAGACGACAAACGGTTCTCCGTTGCTGTGTTTCCGGTTAAGACGGAGATGGAGAAGGAGATGCGGAAGACATGACGAATGTAGCTTGTATCAGGCCCTCAGAGAGAGCTCTAATACCATCAGAAAAACCAAAGGAAAACAAAGGAAAGAGAAAGAAAGTTCACAGAGAAGAGGGGAGAGAGAGAGAAAACTGATTAGTTCTTGATATTTTCATTATTGTGTAAAAGACTTACACGTGAGCTCTTTATAGAGCTGAACTAAAGCCACGACACTAGTTCTGATCTAACAGAATTCGTTTCACTAACTAATTACACTTAGACAATTACAAAGATAACCCTGACTGCTATTACATATATACCCCTAACATACTGTACACTAATATTGGGAATTCTTAAATTGAGTTAGTTCTCATCTCGAAAAGTCAAAGGCTATAATTTGTGTTTGAATTCCAATATACAGTGAATTGTGTCTTTAAGCTATGAATTTTGACTATTAATGATGAATGTCTTTTTTTAGCATTTATTATGTGTGTATTCGAAATTATTTGGCTGCTTCATGATCCATTCTATTGCTTTTGGGAATGAACCATATTCCGTGCTGCTATCTGGAATTAACTACTGTTGAAGTATCACCAAGCATCATATTGTGTTAGGATTTCAAGCTTAATGGAACATTTTTATTATTTTTCCCAAGGAAATGCCAGTAAGATTAAAAGCTTTTGTGCTTGACCTTGCATTTTTTTAAAGCTTTCGAAAATCTCAAAAAAATTAAATAAACATAGCAAGTATGGTTCTGAGTAGCTGCTTCTATTCTCTCTCGTTTCTTTCTTATGTTTAGTTAATATTCTGATGTATATTTTTGTCCTTTTATTGGCAGACAAACTAGTGATCCAAAAAGTGGTTTTGCCACTGTTGAGAAGGATCTTCCCGGAGGCTTGACACCCATGCTTGGTGATCGAAAGGTAATTTAGGGTGTGTTTGGATAAGCTTTGAAAAAAAAAATACTTTTATGATAGTTTTTTTTTTTTTTTTTCAGAAGCTACTATTTCTAAAATTTGAAAAAAGTACCAAAACTGTTTTTCTGGGGGCTTATAAAAATTTATTTTATTATTTCTAACAATTTTAAACATTTTTAATTAATAAGGACTTTTTTTACCAAAACAAATGGGCTATTGATACTTGTATGTATATTTTTCTTCCTGATGTTTTATTGTGCTTGATTAGACAGGGAAAAGAAAATTACCCAAAAAAAAAAACTAAACAATGATATATATCGAAAAATCCAAAATTCAGTCACTGGACTGTCCAGTGAGTGAATTTGCACTATATTCTCCCGCGAGAATATAGTGCAAAAATATTACAATGGCGTTCTTCGGTGTTCTCTCGGGAGAATATAGTGCAAATATTTTTTGCACTATATTCTCGCGGGATAATATAATGCATTGGATCAAATTTACATCAAGTCACTTGATACTCACTAAGCCCTATATATATATATATATATATATATATATTTGGTGCATGTTTACTTTGCTCTTGATGTGATGGGTTTAAAAATAACCAAACGACCATGACCTTTTTCTGTGTTGTAGTGTTCCAGAATTTTCTGGCGATAGGTTTAGGCATTGTAAGGTTCAGAAATTGATGTATTAGTGGTTTCTTGAGTCTGGAGTTCTTGGATCTTTTTTGTAATTTTGTCTTTTTGCTTTTGACAATTGGTGGTGGCTTTTTGTATGCATCTTGTAGTGGATATACCTCTTTGGGTCCCTTGTGGCATTACTGCAAATGATGGGGATCACAGGGTTAAAGGATGCTGGCATTACTGAATTTTAAGATCTGAAGGATCAGTCTGGGCTAAGTGCTTCTTAAATAAAAAAAGGATGGTTTATAGCAACTTATTTATCTTTCAGGTTTTTTGTTTCACGGAATGTTTTTGATTTCCTAGGAATATGACGTGTAGAATGTTAAACTTCTGCTTCTGGTTCAAGTCTAGAAAATGAATTCCTAGGAAGTAGGAATTAGTTATTCCCAGGATTTTGATTAATTAATTAATTATAAAAGGACATTACCCACCCTTCCTGAACATTCTGTCCTCACAAGTTATAAATTGGCTTTTATGCAGTTATTGGTTTGGTCTACTTGAATATGAAATAATATGTTGTGTATTAAATTGATACAAAGAGATACAATATATAGATACCTTAATGGATTTAAGTGAGAAGCTCAGACCTAACCCAAATCCTATATAAGAAAAATAATATTTACAAATAAGAACGCAATCTATACAAATCTATACATATTATATTTCCTATTATAACACTCCTCCTCAAGCTGGTGAGTATATATTGTGAGCACCTAACTTGTTACAAATGTATTCAACCCGTGTATTTTCTAATCGCTATTTTCTGTTTCTGCACTTGGTTACAACACCACCCTTCCCACCACAGCCACCATCCCCAAGCCACTGCCATTGCTGCCTCCTCCACTCCAACCATCATATCACCACCACAACCACCTTCCCCACCTCTATTGTTATGCTGCTTTTTTGCCACCACCACCCATGATGTCTTTGTGTTAGAAGTTGAACAAGGGTGATTTTGAACTATGCCTAACATCGTTGGTTATTTGTAGTTGACCAAACAATAATTTGACAGTAAATTTTTTGGGTCCCTACTCCCTATGATGTACCAATTAGTTTGCACAATGGACCAATAAATAGTGACAATTGACTTGTTTACCAGGTTCAATTGCATCAGAAATTGTGATTGAACCCCATCCACTGTGGTGTCCTGTCATTCTTACATTATCTTTTAAGGATTTTACAGCCTATTTTTGGAGTTTTAGACATAACAAGCTTAAGAAATTAAGTAGGATTACTTTCTTTGATTGTGGAACCCATATGTCATTTAGAAGGTAGACAAGCGAAAGTGCTAAACAGTAGTTAGATAACTAGTCCTAAAATTCTGGCTGAATCTGCTTCCGGGAGTTTTGAGTTTAAATCTTGGGTTTAGAATTGTGCTGAGCGCTCAAGAAATTAAGCAGGCTGAATTCCTTTGATGGTGCACAACTAGGCTAGGATTGAATTCCCCTCCTACCCTCTGTTTTCTTCGCTAGTGTGTGTAACATGTCCATTTTTAGTGCAGTGGTCATGATATTACTGAATACTGACAATATAAACATTAAATTTCGTTTTGTTTTATAATTGAACATTGCATGGGAGAACATTTCAAAAGGAGATGTTGAATAGAATACTTACCTGGCATCTCTGCATTTATAGTATGTCTTAACAAGTATTTGATATTTATGCGTACTTGGTTTTATGGCATTCAGTTTGAGCTTTTGCATATTTCTGTTATTATAATCGCGTTTTTATCGTTTCAGGTAGAGCACTTTCTGGGAATTAAGAGGAAGGCTGAGCCATCAAGTTCGGATACCCCAAAAAAACCTAAACCTTGATTCTTTGGTCTTCTAATTGTAAGCATTTTAAGCTAATATCCCTGTAAGCTTAGAAGTTTGACCCATACACTGCTCATCTATTCCGTTGCTGACTGCAGATATTTTGCAGCAGAATTTATTTTGTTCAGGTTTCGTTGGTAAAACTTCATTTCCTTGGAAGAATGTAATTTGTTGCTATATATTTTAATGACTAGCAACCAGTCATGCGGTTCAGGATTCATAACACCTTATGTACAAATAAGAGTTAATTTTCAATATATTGAGTAAAATTTATTAGCACGATGTTCATTTAGCAAATGTTTGATTTTGGCATTTTGCTAATTTTCAATGTATTAGCTTCATTAACTTGTTCTCCACCTCGGGTACAATTACCAAATGATTGATATTGCTAATCCTATAACTTAATTAGCACGTTGTTCAATAATCATCTGAATTGAACGAGTATTTCATGGTTTCACTTGATTAGGAGAAAATATATTCTTCCTGCATCATGACTAGTGTTTGATTTCTATATGCAATATATTTTGACAAATGGAACCCCAACCCAGTTGGTAAATGTAAGTTAAGATGCACGGTCGGTTGGTTCAGATTTTTAAAAATAAAATCAATGAACTCAAATTGAACCTGCTTATTCAAAATTATCTTGAATTGGAGTGGGTAATCGGCTTTTATCTTTTATATATTCTCCATCCACCTTAGTTCATGTGCTCTCTGTTTTTTCCTTGTCTTTGTAGTAGGCAGCCACAACCTCCAAAGCACTGATACGTGAAATCTGAGGAAAAATGAGTGTCGGACACGTGTCGGACTCTGACACGTTCCGACACGTAGTCAACTTTTTTTGACATGTTGATTATTCCGACACGCAACTTTGACCGTGTCCGACACAGTCAAAGGGTACAAATGTAATTTTTTTTGACATTTTTATAAAATTAAAATAATTTTAAAAAAATCAAGAAAAAATTTGGTCGAATGTTTTGAGCCCTAAATCAAACTGCTCAGACTCACTTCCATCGTTCTCCGTCCCTCACCCAGCCGTCCGTCGAAGCCAGTTTTCAGGTATGTTCTTCGTTCTCAACCAACCCCTCAAATTTACTGTTCTCCACTGTGTAATTATCGTCTGCACTCTTCTCTCCCTGGTACTGAGGCATGTAGATTATCTCCTGGACATAGCTGTTGTCTCTCTTGCAACTAGTTTCTGCAATATTCTAATTTCTGTCTCGTGCTCTTACTTTGGTTCTTTCTTATGATATATGGACAATATTATGATTATCATACTTTTTATTTTTTTCTGCTGAGAGATTCTGAAACTTATCAATTTCATAGCGTTCTCAACGAATGCTAAAAGGGTACAACTCGGTGGGCAGTTTCCAGTCGCCCGTCCCTCACCTAGCCATCTGTCAATGCTAGTTTCCAGTCGTCCGTCCCTCACCTATACTTGTTGGCTATACACACAGGTATGATTTTATTGTTTGAAAAATTTGATGCATACAACCTGTTTGTATTAATGGCTGAGAGTCCTACAAACATGATATTATGTGTGTTAGTCTAATCCTTTTTGTTCTTTTCATCATCTATGTATAAAGTTGTTTGTTCTTTTTAAAATAATTGAAAGCAATATCAGAACAATATTAAGTTGCACGATTTGATAATAAGCACCTTGCTCCAGTAGCAATTATGGTGAAAGTGACATTATGTGCTTCAATTACGTAAAAGTGACATTAAACTATATTATATATATTAAAAATATTATTTAATATCAAAACGTGTCCCAACGTGTCAAAATTTAACTTTTTTTAGAATTAATGTGTCGGCATGGCGTGTCGTGTCTCGTGTCCCGTGTCGGTGTCGGTGCATCATTGGCCACAACCAGAGTGATGCAGGGTTGAAGATGCAGGTGCAGCAAGGGTGTTAGGGCACGAAAAGAGGGTAAAGTATTAAGTATCTAAATTAATCATAAGTATTTAAAAAAAAATTAATCATGAGTAATCAAATGATGATAACTTGGTGTCAGATAACTGAGTACGTGGGAGTGAAAGAGTGTGTTCGATTTTCTTTAGTATCGTCTTTGGAAGGAGTTTAAATTTTTAATCTCAGAACTCGTCCCGAATCGAACTAGTCGTGAAGGGATGTATATCTTAAAAAAAAAAAAAAAAATCGTAAGTATGTGATAGATTTAAAGGATATAGACAAACACAAGAGTGACATTATTTGTAGGAGAATAGACATTTGTTGAGTCAGCTTCCTTGATACTGTACCTTTTTGGACCATTCTATTAAAAGATATAAAAATATTGTCCAATTAGGATGGAATGAGAATTATTTTTTCAATCTATGGAGGTGGGTGTCGCTGAGAAGAGTTGTGATACTGGCTATATTCCTCCATTCCTTATAATTATTAATTAATATCATAATTTATAATTATTATTTAATAATTATACAATTATTATTATGTTAAAAATTAACATTAAATTTATCGAATTAAATAATAAATAACATCATAATTAATTCTAATTTTTCTAGTGCAACCTCTTGAAATTTTCAACAATTTAAAAAATTAAATTTATTGTAAATATTGATAATTTGATATTTTCCTTTTCTTTCTTGTAGGATGAATTCAAATTTGAAATATTTGTTATCATTTAAGTAGGGTAAGTGATCTCGTTGAAAGTCCATAATTGCTTGAATGTTGGAGTTATTCATAAAATATTATGATTATTGTGCTATGATTCTGATTATATTTATTTTTTGCAATTAATCAATATACCCAACTACTATTGTATTCTCAAAGAATCCATAGTGAGACAAATAAAAAATTTATGTATCAAGAGATGAAAATTTTAGTCAAAATTCTTATACTTAATCAAATATTTAAATCTTTGGGGGATAGGAAAGATAAATAAAAATCAATCATCAAACTATCATTGTTGACAATAAACTTAACATCTTTAAATTTACAGATTGCAAAAGATTAGATAAAATAAATGAGAATTATTTTGGAGAATATAAAAAATAAAAATAAAAATCAATTACCAAACTGTCACTATTAATAATAAATTTGACATTTTAAAATATACAAGAATTGCAAAAGATCCCAACATACAAATGAGAATTATTTACATTGTTAATTATTTTTCAATTTAATGTCAATTTTCAAAATAATAATAATTACTTATTTGCTGTTTTAATTATTAGATACTAATAATTATTTACAAAATTTGTTATTATTTATATGGATGGAGAGAATATAAAATATTAATCATTTATTATTTCAATTATAAAATACTAATTATTATTTATAATATTAATTAATATTTAATATTTATAATTATTATTTAATTATTAGATACTAATAATTATTTACAATATTTATTACTATTTATGTGGATGGAGAGAATATAAAATAATGGGGAATGTTATATTTACAAACTTTTTGTTTACAAACTCTTACAAACTACACTAAGTATGACCGGTCCTACTTCAATCAAGAGTGTATGATCGGTCATACTTAGTGTAATTTGTAAAAAAAAGTTTGTAAACGGATCCTTCCCCTAAAATAATTACTATTTATTATTTCAATTATAATATACTTGTTATAGATCTGATAAAGACTCACATTTTAGAAGGTCAAATAAAAGACAGCACAAAAATAAAGTCATGAATATGGAAGAGAATCATCTATTAATGACAATCTTATCGTGCCAGTTAAGCAGTTGAATTTAGACACTCAATATTCCTAAGAGGCCCATAAATACATCTTGTCAAGGAAGCACGGACACTTGTAAAAGCAGGGAGAGTCGTGTCTGACACGCTGTCGGACACGCGGTCAACTTTTTCCGACACGTTGACCATTCCGACACGCGAATTTGGCCGTGTCCGACACGGTCAAATGGCATTTTTGTAATTTTTTTAATTTTTTTAAAAAAAAATTATTTTTTAAAAAATTAAAATATATTAATAAAGCTTCCACCTGATCATATCAATTTTATTTTATTTTGTCTTTTTTCCCCTTAAGTAGATAAGAGATCATCTCAGCATCATTGTTGTCAATTCCTATCACGCTCTTGTTGTATCTCCTTGTCTCTGATCTCTCTCTCTAATATGATTTGATCTCTCTATCTGATATTATATCTCTCTCATTTCAGTTCTTATTTTTTTTATTAAAGCTTCCATCTTTATAACGTGTTGATGGGTATTATTAATTTAGTTTCATTTTTTTGTTAAATTATTAAATATTAAATGAAATATACACTATATAAATTAAAAATATTATTTAATATTAAAACGTGTCCCAACGTGTCGAAATCCATAATTTTTTAAGATTGACGTGTCAGAGTGTCGTGTCACGTGTCGCGTGTCGTATCGGTGCTACATAGCATCTTGTCAGGTAACTCATCTAAAAATAAAGGGTTAAGCCAATAAGTTACAGACGTTCTAAACTCTCTCTCTTTTAGCTGTTCTTGTGCACATACCTCACATTTTGGCTATGCCGTTTAAGTTACTATATTGCACAATAATATGCTTACCTTTAAATGTATCTCCTCTACATGTATATGAGATAGGGCACCTAGATCCAATAGAAACATTATCAATATATGATTGGATATCTCTGTCACCAAGAAAGAATAATACTGATTATTATTTATAAAGGAAATGATCCCGTTTACAAAAAATTTTACAAATTTTTGCAAATTACACTGTATTTCCGGGAGAACATAGTGTGACCTAATATTTTCCCAGGAGAACATAGTGTAGTTTATAAGAGTTTGTAAATAAAAAATTTATAAATATAACCCCTCCCTATTTATGATATGAATTAATATTTATGTGATGTGATGAGAAATGAAATGAAAATTTTCACCTATTGTCTTGTGACAACATCTTAAGTTGACAATTCCATTGAACTCCAGGCGAACTGCCAGGATATTGCCACGTGAAAGCTCTGTCTCACTATTCCTCCCAGCGATACCCACATCCATAGATTGAAAAATAATTCCCACCCTTCCACAATATGATCATTTCTATTATTATTTTTAAGAGAATGGTCAAAAAGCGTTGATATTATTGATGTTGTTATCTATGTCATTAATATTGAATTTTGTTTGTGGAAAATGAATCACTTTAAAAGTTGTATAAAATATAATTGGTCAAATTTGGGGGATCTTATATAGCTAAAAGTTGTATTACTCGCATGATATTCCTAATAACAATTTTTTTATGTCAACAAATCCCACATAATCACACCCCCAGAAAAATGGATCATATATATGAATAAGTTC